GTGTTCCCTGTCCAAGTGGGTAAACAGGGAACACCCCCTAAGATTTCAGCTCTCACAGATCCCCGAGTTACGGACTTACCCGAAAAAAATTTTGGCAGGCTCGCACGCGCGTACCACGCTTACCCAGGGGCTGGATTTGAACTCATTAGCACCTGCTTGGACGGGGAACAATCCCTTAAAATTTCAGCTTTCTAGCTTTTCAGATCCCCGAGTTATGAACTTACTCGGAAAAAACTTTGAGTGGCCCGTGCGCGGGTACGACGCGGGGTATGGCGCCAATTTTGGGAATTGGGGCCTGTACGTGCATGTAGATTAATTCCCCAAAATTTCAGCCTCGTAGTTTTTGTAAGTCTTGAGATGAAAAACCGTGAAAGACGCACACACGGACACACAGACACACACACAGACAACCTCTCGTCAATATGCGTTTTTCGCATTGCACTGCTGCAAAAAACGCATATAATGTATAACTACAATGACAATAGTCAATAATAATAACAGTAATAATTTCATGTCTGCAATGAGCGATCCACAAACCGAGCAAGCGGCAGAACGCTCGAAAATGGTAGCAAAATATCTCTGAATAACTCGCTTACTGAGATTCTTCAGAAAAGTTCCAATCCATAATTTACAGAAGATTTCGAGTCTAATCCGTATGAAAACTACGGAAACCTTTAAAGATATTTGCGCCCGCTTCAGTTTTTCCTTGCACATCTTCTTTTCCGCCTGTTCCTGCGCCAGCTGTGATTGCACACACTCCAAACGAGAGCGCAGTTCGGTCTGTGCTGTCTGATTAGCCTGCAAAAATCGGTGCATTAATGCATAAACCCACCCATCTCCTCCCCTTCTTACTTTTCAAGGAATAAACACTTCGAACCGACAGGATGCTTCTCGCTCGACCTACAGCGGCCATAGTTAGTTCCGCAAGACAGCATGCACTGGGCCATCAGCGAAAGCAGCAATTCGAGTTACTGTACATAACAGCCAAGCCAGAACATGCGTAGAATCATTTACAACGGCATCGAATATGCTCATAACAGCAGACGGATTCGCCAAGTCTATCCCTTCTGCTCCGGCCTCGAGCCTATTTTAACAATCCAAGACCCCAGGGCTTCCTGCACGATCATGGGAAGCAGAGGTGCAACTGTAACGACCTGTGAAATTTGGCCCAGCAGATTAATTTTGAAAGGGCCGTTTCAAACATAAAGGATTGTGGAATTCGGCCTACTGGCTCCGGGGCTGGGTAAAAAACAAAGATTCAAAAGACGTGACCACAACAGAACCCAAACTGAATAAAAAGCGAAGAATTCGAGAAAAGCAGTTTTTGGAAAGCTGAGCGACCATTTCGTACTGTGTGCGACGCTCGCATGCAGAATATAAGAAAAAGAGACGAACTTCCAGGCGCTTGTATGTTTCTCTGCACTCCTCCTCACATTCAATATATGCCCGTTTTTCATCTGCCAACTGCTTCTCCACCTGGGCTAGCGAATTCTTCTGCAATTCGAAATGCATTCTTTCTTGGGCCAAAATGGCCTGACCCCTCTCCTCCCAAAAACGCCTCACTGTGATAACGAGAAAAACGCTTACCAAATTTTCCACGTTTTCGAACTTCGTGCTCTTCAGAACTGCATTCTTCTCGGCCGCCAATTTGTTTTTCTACAACCGCAAATATTGCAAAATCGCATAAAAAATTAATCGTCAAACAAGCTTTTTCATTGTATAGTCAAACAAGTACACATCATCTTTCTCACCTAACGTTGTTCAGTGTTGCTCAAAAATATCATGTAAATCCTTTTTGTGCGTCTTTTGCATCTATGCAATGCAGAAAACGCATACTGACGAGGGGTTGCCTGTGTGTGCGTCTGCGTGTCAGTGTGCAGGTCTGTGTGTTCGTCTGTGCCGATTTTCCATCCCGAGACTTACAAAAGCTACAGGGCTGAAACTTTGGGAGCTTCATCTGCATGCATGTATAGGCCCCCATCCCCAAAATGGGCGCTCTTACACGCCTGATACCCACGAACAGGCCCACTAAAATTTTTGACGAGCAAGCTGCTAACTCGAGAGTCAGAACAGCTAGAAAACTGAAATTTTAAGTGGGTGTTTCCCGACAGTCTTGGTGGCCAGTCTCAATTCTTTTAGCTAAAAGCATCTGCTGGAAAAACCAGTGCCATTAGCGACAAAAATTTGCGGAGAATTATGCAAAAAACGCATCTTCGCACCAGCAGTCGGTGCGCTGGTCAATTATTTCATTACGGGTAAAGACTGACCAGCATCATCAGCAGCAAACAGTTGTGCAAATTGAACGTGCACCAAAGGACGAGGTTTAAATTTGCGCTGCTAGAAAGACATGCAGTTCATTTTACATCCAGTCCAGTCTAATGCAGCCCCGAAGAAGTATACTGAATTAGTATCACCGAACAGGCGTTACCTCCTCTTGGAGCTGATGCAGCTGCGCCTGCAAGCGCATTACTTCCGCTTCGCGGCTCGCATATCGGCAAACAGCGTTGTCCTTCTCTTCCTCGGCTCTTTCTGCCCTCTTAGTGAGCTGCAAAACGCCAAGCATTTTTTCATTTAAAAAAAAA